TAGAAGGGTTCCACCACAAATGCGCGAACGACAAAAGCGCGCCTGACTAAACCGCGGTGACAAAACCACGCCGACAAAACCGTGCCAACGAATGAGCACAAAAGCGCGCCGACAACAGCGCGCCGACAAAAGCGCGCCGACAGAAGCGTGCTCTAACCCTAACCCGAAACCAAACCCTAAACCTAACCCGAAACCTAACCCTAAACCTAACTCTAAACCTTACCTTAACTTAAATCGCGCTTCTGTCGGCGCGCTTTTGTCGGCGCGCTGTTGTCGGCGCACTTTTGACGTGGTTTTAGCGCCACGGTTTTGTCGCGCTCACTCACTCTCGACAACTGTTGGTAGGAAGTTTTTCTCCTGACTTTCTAAGAATGGGGCTCAAACAGATGTTACCATGCCTTCTTCTGGTGGTACTTGTTAAGGCAAGCTCTCCTTGTTGATATTCCACTGTTAACACTGGATTTCACTGGTTATTATCGTATGTGGGAATGAGCTTGCTTGGCATGGGAAACTGGGCCCAGAGATGCTGCCTAGAGGATCCTCAGATAAGAGGCAACAGAGTGGGTGGGGCAAGAGGTTCAGAGGATACCCTCCCTACTTTCTCAGGCTGCAAAGGAGATGGTGGGAAAATTCTATTTCAGAACTTGAATGGTTCTGCTACTGTGGAATAAAATGAACATCTAACATCTGAAGAATGGTTGCAGGGATTGGATATGGCCAGTCTAGTGAAAAGAAGGGGGTGACGTGATAGCAATGTTCCAATATCATACAGAATAGGGGGCCAACCTATTCTCCAAAGCACCTGAAGGCAGGACAAGAAGCAATGGGTGGAAACTAATCACAGAAAGATCCAACTTAGAACTAAGGAGAAATTTCTTGACAGTTAGAATAATTAATCAGTGGAATGACTTGCCTCCAGAAGCTGTGGGTGCTCCAACACTGGAGACTGTTAAGAAGAAATTGAACAGCCATTTGTCCAGAATGGGACAGGGTCTCCTGCTTGTGCAAAGGGGTTGGACTAGAAGATCTCAAAGGTCCCTTCCGACTCCGTTATTCTGTTATATTCTGTTAAATTCTACTTACAATAAAGTAGAATTAGCTTGCTGGTTGTGTTTAGTGTCTAATACAACCGATGAGGCTGATGCTTGTCCAGAGATCAAGAAAAATACATGGGATGTGGACCAGATAAGAGGTTCCCCCATAGAATTATGAATGGAATTCTCTTTGTGTTCCTCAAGCAAATTAAATCAGTGTTATTCCAACATGCTTAAGCTATCCTAAGTAGCTATCCTAAGTTAGCTACTACCTAACTTAGGATATTTGATTATATTGATTTGTATTCTGTTTTTTTTCCTGATGTATGTGGGTTTAACTTTGTTCTTTGCAATGCAAGGGACTGGGATGGCTACAACGAATTGTTCAATAAAAACTTGAGCTCCACTTTATTTTATAAAAGGAAGTATCAGATTGGTCCCATAGAGGGCAGTATACATTGAAAATATTGGCAGAGAATTAAGCTCTTTCTGATTAGCACAAAATCATGTTTAATTTGAATGATGATTCAAGAGAGGATGTAGGAGGTACAGACAGGTTCAGATTCCTAGAGCAGAAGTTTAAATTGGGTTTCTTTGAAGAAGCCTTTGGCCCAGAAAGGAGGTAAAGGAAATGTTTAATTTTTTGTAATTTAGGTTTTAGTAAAGAGAAAAAGAAAAACATTTTGGAGCTCCTCTTTCAAGTTATAATAGTAATAAGGCAAATAGCTTTTTGAATTTTATTTATTAAACAAGTATATTTTTACATAAATGTACAGCATTATGTGATGCTTCCTATAGTTTTAATTCACAGGAGTGAACTTAAATTCAAAATGGACTTTGGATAAATCTATTGTTGGAGTTTGACCCAATCTGTTGAGTTCAGTCCTGTAAAGTTTTGAATAAACTTGTGTTCAAAAATTGTTATCTTCCAGTAATCAGCAGGAAATTGAGATAGAAGGACCGTAAATCTGTGTTATTGAAATGCAATAATGCTTACAAAATTGACAACTATTAAGAATCCCCATATATGTAAACAGAAAATCCAGCAGCATTTCAAACACTAAAACTTTAAAAAGTGGCATTGTAATAGAAATGTCATTATATATACATGTATTAATTCATATAATGTTTACATCAAGACAATGTAAAGACCTTAATGAAGAGAACGGTGAAGAAATGGGACTAAAATGAAATACAAAGAAGAGCATACTAATGACAATAGTTAGAGCAACCAAACTTAGAATTGATAGTGAAGATACCAAAGTGCTGGAGATCTTCTACCTTTCCGAATCAACCATGAATATTAAAGGAACAAACAGTCAAGGAATACACTACAGACCAGCACTTGGTAGAAGGTCAGCTATGATGGTCTTGGAAAAGATATCCACATGTCATGATGTATCTATACCTACAAAGATCGGAATCGTGTAAGCTACGATGTTCCCCGTGACAGTCCATGGAAGCAAAAGTTGGACTTCGAAGAAGTAGGAAGAATAATTGAAACTTCGAAATGTTGTTGTTGTAGAACTGAGCCCAACATTTCTGTTGTTAAGCGAGACAGTTGCTAACTGAGTTTTGCTCCATTTTGCGACCTTTCTTGCCACAGTCGTTAAGTGAATCAATGCCGTTGTTAAGTTAGCAACATGGTTGCTAACTCAATCCGGTTTCCTCATTGACTTTGCTT